ACAATTGTGGGGGGAAGCGTGGATGATGGGGGTGGGGGCCGCTCTGCAACTGATATTCGAGCTGCTTCCACTTTTTATATGTAGTACTTATATACTAGACGTATACTTTCTGAGGCAATGATATTCACATATCCGGCTGCAAGGGGGTTTACTTATCGACAAAAAAGAAAAAAAAAAACACACACACACACACACGCTACTATTAATAACAATTTGTATGGAAATGGAAATTTGCGATATCAAAAGCTATTTGCGCGCTAAACATCCCAGTGGGATTTCTAAAAAAGGGGTGAGATTTGAATATTGGACTAAGCCCACACACTAATAGCTTTTCATCTTAGTGCCATTCGACCAGTTCGTAATCAAATTGCTAGACACATTTGCTCGCCCACTTCAATCGTTTTCGAGTGACATTAAAACAAGTTTTATTCGCCAGATCAGCAGGTACTTGAACTTTAATAGAAATCACAATCTGTCTCTGATTTGACATAGAAAATCCACACAACACGACCAATTCTTCAACGATACTTACTAAGTATATAACTTGAAAGATAAGAAGTTTAGGACAAACTTAAGCTGCATACACATCTGAGCAAGGCACACTCCATGTTTTAAGCGGCTAAGTCTTTCAGCTTCCGAGATTAGGACTTTCAGACATACAAACAAAAATAACATGATTGACGGATTCGTTTGGAAACTTAAGCAGAGTAATTATGATATTAATATAGCCGCTTTCCCCCAAATAGGGTGCGACTTTTAAAAAAGCTGCGAATCCCTTTTGTTAATTTAGCTCTAATTGGCAAAGAAGATTGCTGCCCTCTTCCCTCCGCCATTTACAAATGCCACTTGAGCTGCTGCTGCTGTCGTTGTCTACAATATTGGCAACGGAAGCTATTTCCATTTTATCCACAGCATTATGTACATATGTATATATGTATGAATGTATGTATATATAATTTGGGCACTTTTATGACATTCTAATGAAGCTTAATTGCCCATTGAACGGTAACGGCAACGACAACGACAACGGCAATGACAAGGGGGCGTGGGCTGGAGTTGTAATCGCTCTTGACAACGATAACTGGGGGGGCCATCGCTCGTTTCAGCTATTAAATGTCCATTAAACAATCGGCAGCCATGCAGATGCTCTATGGCTGGGATTGGTGGTTGGGAGGAAATGGTGCGGTTCTGAGTGGCAGCTCAATCGATAAAATTCATAAATTTTTGATTGGCTCTAATTTAAATTCAAATCAAAGAGTCGGTGGTAAATGTATTGAATATATCCTCGTGTTCCATAAGAAGAAACAAGGAACCGGCATGTCATTAAAAATATAACTCATATGCGTTACATTTGTTGTCCAATAATATACGCTAGTGACGAAGTAATCTTTTTTTTTATTTTATTTATGTTATGTATGTATGTATATACTCGTGTTCTATCAGAAGAGCCATATCTTTTTATATGCAAATCAGATGAGTTACATTTGTTGTCCAAGAATATACGCTAGGGACGAAATTCTCTAAAATTGCGTGGCTAGTATGTATAATCTAAATGTGGTTGAGCTTCAATGTGAATCTGATCCTAAAGAAAAAAATTTCATTGTGCATAATTTTAGAGACTGGAATTTTGGAACAGATATAGCTTTCAGAAACTATCAATATATATTTGTATTGGGGGCTTTCTTTCTTATAATAAGAATATGGTAAGAGACTAAAACTCAAAAAGCAGCCAAAAAAAATAAACCCGAGATCCATAATCTTATCATTCGATTAAGCTCTTACTTTATTCGTATATCTTTCATCTTTTCCGCCTTCGCGCGTACTTCTTCGTTCATACTAGTATACATATACATATGTATGTACATATAATATATAATTCATAATTTTTGTTTTCGTTTCTACTCCATAGCTTATCTTTTATCTTGTAATTTTCTTTCTTATTATTCTTATATTCTTCATTGCTAATTCAAAAAGGCAATGATTTTAGAACAAAATCTGTTTCAGAAATGTAGAAACAAAAGTGCATTATCGAATAGAGATCTAATAACGAATCCCTCATTCCCATTGCAGATATCCATATCTGTAAAGAAAAGCCTGATTGTGAAACTTCTTCTTGTAATATCCTTATTAATATAATAATGTGCGAATAATCATGTTGACTCACTTCTTCTACTCCTCTTCAATGTCAGGGCCGAACTTCAGTTGTTCTTTTTGTTCAGGGCTACCCATTAATTATGGAATGATCTGTGTATTTATATACATATCTATATATGTATATGTATGTATGTATGTAGATATTTGTGTGCACGCAACAATGGCATCAAAGTTGGGTCTTCACTTGCCCCCTAAAAACGACTTTGTTTTTGTTTTATTTTTTTATTATTATTATTACTTTTTCTTTACTTTGCTAAACGACCTTTATAAGCCTCTCCATGTTGTGCCACAATTAGTCTGCTATTCTATCTCTTTTGCTCACTTTCTATCTCTCTCGGCCTCGCTCTCCCTCTCCCCCTCTACCGCTCCGTCTCTCTCTCTCTCTCTCTCACTCTCTCTCTCTCTCTCTGCCTCTCTGTGTTGCTAATGGGTTTGTAATTTAACGAATGCCGTTGACTGCCCCCCGTTGTCGTTGTTGTTGTTGTTGTTGTTGTTGCGGCAGGTCAATAGTGTCAAATTACGTATAATTATTTTTAGCTTAAGAGACGCCTGTGTGTGTGTGTGTGCTATCAAGCGTACCCCCCACCCCTCCTCCAATTCGTATTCCCCATGCAACTCATTGCCATTGTCTTTTGCTCTTTGTCTCTTAAGTGCTTCCACTTCTACTCATTTACATCATCATTGTCATCGTCATCGTCATTATCGTCATTAGTATAATCATCGTCGTCGTCATTATTATTGTCATCATTATTATTGTCTGAATAACCGCAAAACTAGAAACAGCAATAACTACAACACTCATACATAGTACATACATATGTACATATGTATGTATGTATATTGTGGCTGTTATTAAGCTTTCCGGGTTTCAGCCTGCATCGTCTATATTTCTTCTATTTTTTTTTTTTTTGCTTCCCATCTACCTCTTCCTCGCTCCGTCCCACTCCCTCACTCTGTCGCTCTCACTCTTGCACTAACTGTCTGTCGCCAGACTGTGACTAATGCCTCGACCTCTGTGGTTAACGCACGTAGAACGTGAAAGTCGTGCCAGCCCGATCCCTTGATACCCTGTACCCATCCGCTGCGGCCATTCAATTAAAGTGAACTTTGTTATACTTATCGTTCCTACTATAACAGCTATATGTATTATAAAGTGTAGTAATTTTTACAATTCTTCAGATTATGGTAAGGCCAAAAAGAGAGACTACCAGATTTGCTGAAGAATTCTTTATAAACAAATATTAAAAATTTCGTACTAGGAGTGTTTTTTGCGCCGATCGTTCCTATGGCAGCTATATAAAATAAAGCAGCTATATGTGGTTTCTTTTAAACTTACTCTGCCTTAGAGTTCTACATTCGAGGAAACTCAGGAAATATGAAATTCCGGACACGTCATAAAGATTCTTTTATGTAACATGGGATCGGCCACGCCCTCTTTTGCCTGTTACATACCTTCCATCCTTACAGTAGGGGACATAAACAAATCCCATATAACCAACTGATCGCCCTTCGATACGCCCTCGCATGGAACATTACAATTTTATTTTATCAGCTCTCGACATTCATAATTTCAGCTCTCAGCACAGCTCAGTCCAAGTGCTCGGCCACTGCCTCGGTGCTTATCTATTGAGTGTGCACGCTATTTGGATTGTTCCCGGAGAGCTTTTTATCAATACAAAGTCTCTCATAATCTCAAAGTCTGCTGTCACCGAATCATGGGCTCAAATACCCCGAGTTCCCCGGTTCGAGCCATTATTTCAGGCATTTCAGTTCCGTTTCGTTATAGCGTCTCGACTCAATATACCAGCAAATAAACCATCACTGATCAATTAGTTTTCTTCTTTGTTTCCGCTAGACAAGCCCCAAAAAAGTAGATGAGATTGTTTTGATTTGAAAGAAACTTGCTTCTACGAAAAATGGTTTCAAAATTGATCTTTAAGTTAACGATCAGATTTGTTCCAGTCAATAATTGAAGTTTGTTTAACTTTTGGATCACCGCTCCGCAGCAAAATAAAACGTACTTTCTTAGTCAAATGATCAATTTTGAATTTCCCTGAAACATATTTCTATATATATACAATATTTCAACTTCATCTTACTTTGAATTTCTCTATAAAACCTTCTGGAATTAAGCTCTAAAAAATGAATCATTTTGGAATATTTGAGACTGGAAATGGAGGATATTTTCTAAAAAGAAAATCGAAGCTTTTTGGCTGGTTTTGAGGAATTTGTATTTATGAATTTTTAATGGCAAACTCAGTAAAGAGTAGAGATTCCTTTTTGTCTTTCAAAATCCAAACCTTAATCTTCAAATTAACAGAGAACTAACTAATGATGGCATTCTTCTTTAAGGTTTTTGAACAATTTTCTGTTTCAAAATTCAACATTCTATTATATTATAAATAAATTTGTATCTGTTCCAAGAAGAGACTTCCTCAACTCAAAGGTAGGGATGATCATCTCTTTATCGTGCAATCCAAAATAAATGTTTTTATTCAAGCATAAGCCGTAGTTGTAGTTAAGGATCAGCCCCATATGAATTTAATGGGAATTTTGTGAATTTGCAACGGGTTCGCTGTAGTTTTAAATCTGAAATTTTGCAGATAAGTCCGCACAACTCGGCCACAGAGCCGGTTAGTTTTGGAGGGTAGGGTAGCGGCTGTAGAATGTTAATATGGGGCGGGATTTTGTTGCCAATGGACCGACAATGATGTCGAGTATCGAACAGGAAATGAGAGCCTGCCTGCTGCGGAAATATGTAAAACAAACGCGAGAGCTATAGCTTCAGAGTTTTGGTGGGTCAGGGGGGTATCTATATAGTATACTCGTATGTTAATTGTGCTCACCTATGAATGGGAGATGGGCCGGCGGGCAGACGTTGTTGATACGCTGACATATTTGCAGCGTTCTGTTGTTGTTGCTTTTGTTGTTGCTGCTGCTGTTGCTGCGAAGCTTTATTTTGTTGCTGCTGCTGTTGCTGCTGCTGTTGCTGTTGCTGCTGATTAGACGCTGTTGTTTGAGGATGGTGTTGTTGCGCTTGTTGCTGATGATGGTGTATCTGATGGGACGTTGGTCCATTATCATGCACTGCATGTGCCGCTGCAGCGTTTTGCTGCTGAAATTGTTGCTGAACACGCAGATGTTGTTGTTGTTGTTGCTGCTGTTGCTGCTGCTGCTGCTGTTGGTGCTGTTGTTGTTGAAGCTGTTGATGACGGTGATGAAGAATGTGTTGTTGATGCTGTTGCTGTTGTTGCTGCTGCTGTTGTTGTTGTTGATGTTGTTGCTGCTGCTGCTGCTGCTGCTGTTGTTGTTGTTGTTGTCCACTATTTGGGGCGTTGTTTGTGGGCGGCGGAGCACCGACCTGCACTGAAGAGGAGCGTATAGCTGCTTCCATTTCATGCCGAACTCTTTTGGCTTAAACACTTGTTGTTGCGCTCAGAAGTTGTTGTGGTTGTCGTCGTTGTTGCTGTTGTTTGCTGCTTGTTGTTGCTGTTGTTATCACTGGGCCGCCTACATGCAACAACATTGCAATGCGACATTCTTTCTTCTCTCGCAGGCAAAACAATGTTTCACTTATTATTGATATTTTATTACTATTATTTGAATTGTTGTTTATTTTTGCTCTTCTTTTTCTATTTCAATTAATTTTTTTCAACACTTTCGACTGCTGCTGCTGTTGTTGTTGTTGTTGCTGTTGCTTTTCGTTTTAAACTCAACACGCCCTCAACAAACAGCAACAACTTAAGCGCATAGCAACAGTTGCTGCCTTTGTTGCTGTTGTTGTTTCCGCTGCTGCTTCTGCTGCTGTTGTTGTTGCTGCTTTTGCATATTTTTTACACTACTACTTGGCTTGAGACTTTAATTGATTACAGACACAGTTGCTGTTGCTGTAGTTGCACTTTACTTAATTCCTACTTTTCATTTAATTTACATTATTTCTGCTTTACTCGCTCATTCGTCGCCATTTATCTCTATTTACACTGCTGCAATTTGAACAACAACAAAAAGAGAAGAAAAATGAAATTTGAGGCAGATGCACTTTTTTGCATTTCAGCACGAACACGACGCGCGCAGTGCATGGCTCGTGAAGTGCGGCAACGTTGCTCAATCACTCGCTGATTCAAATGAGTGCGCGACGTTGCCAATTTGCGCTTTGCGTACAATATTTGGCGCGCTTTTTACACTGCGCAAAATAAAACACACAAACAAACAAGACACTGGCACTGAAAAAAAAAACTTAACATTATTTTGCGACTTATTGTACCGAACATATTATTAAACGGCGTGCGGAAAACGATAACGATCATTATTTATAGGAGAAGCAGCGCAGAATTGGTTGCTTTTGGGTCTTCTTCTTTGTAGTCACTAATTATCTATAAAAATTCAGATTTTATATGTAGTTATATTAAGCAATTATTTTATTTAATTATGTATCAAGTTTTCATTTCATTTTTCATTTATTTTTATGCAATTCTGATTTATTGATTTAAGTATTTATTCATTTTTGATTTAATTTTTATTCCGATTATATTTAAATATTTTTAAAATATTTATTTTGTCTTTTTTTGATAGTTAGACTTTTTGTAAAATTATGTTTGTATGTACATATATGAATATTTAATAATCACAATATTTGTATAATAATTTTGCTTGTGTCTTTTGTGACTTTTTGTTCATTTCGTTATTTGTTAATAATTTATCATTTATGAATTCAAGAATTTTTTAATTGTTGCAATCTTTATTTGCAATTCGAAAACTGATTATTTAATATTCGTTATTTGATGCAATTGTTTAATATTTGTTAATATTCGTTACGTGTAATTTGTTTGTGTCTAAGTTAATTGCATAAATAATTGCTTTGCTTTTTTTATTATTATTTATGTACGTTCTCCCATATACATATGCGCGTGTGTGTGTGTGTTTGTGTGTGTGGGGGAGGGAGATCGAGAGCGTGACCAAGAGAGAGAGAGCGAGAGCGAGAGTTTCTATCAAATCCGATATGAAAACAAAACCACGAATTTAATTTCAAACTTTTCCATTAATTAGCAACTTTGCACACTTTTTGTTTAACATTATGAAGCGCGATTTCGATTGCTTGACCGTTCGATCGGGCGGTCGGCGCTCGGCTTATCTTCATTTATCACAAGACATTTAACACACACACAATAAAAAAATATATATGTATAAAAAAAAAAACAAAAAAGAAAAATCAACGCGCAAAACATGAAACAAAAACCCGTTTTGTTTCTTCGCACACACACACACACACACACATGTGCGTACGTGTACGTATTTCGTGGATATTGCGTTGCAGTAAAAGAGAGCGTCGCAAACCTGCAATGAAAGAGACGGAGAGAAAAGGGAGGGTGAGAACGTGTTGATTACAGAACAAAACAACAGTTGCAATTTGATAATAAAGTCTTATTTATAAAATGCATTTGTTTTCCAATAAAAATAGTGAACACATAAAGGTAATGATGATAACGTATGTATGCTATCTCTATATTCGTACAGCTTGCATGAAAACTAGTCGCTTTAGCATAATACTTATGTACATACATACATTCATATGTATACATTTACATACATATGTATTATACACATACATACATACATACATACATATGTATGTATGTATGCCGGCCCTGGAAAACAATCGATGGTACTATCAATATAAACAATGTTTTAATACGAATATTTGGATTACTATGTTTTTTTCTTTAATTTGATTTTTTTCACGCTCCAAAACTTATCGTTGCTTTACCAACAAAAAAGCCTTGTAGGTGCGCGGTTATATACATTTTTATGATTTGATTGGCAATGTTCAATCGTAGGAGCCACACCGAATTTTCAAAGATTGGAAAGCCGAATATGGGCTTCCAAATCCTTTTAGGCATATTCAGAATCTGCTGGTGAAAAAGCACCAAACCTCTCTTAAAAGTCAATCTCTACTCTTTCATTATTAATATTAGCTTAGTTGATTTTTTGTTAAGTGGTTCCTATACTTTGGTTTGCATTTGAATATGTTATGGTGTTCTTAAATATTATACATATCCGATATCCGAATCAATCTGTACTCAGTTTATATTCAAAAGCGCTACTTTGATTCACTGTACATGTTTTTAATAGTTTTCTTCAAGTAGGCATCCAAATTTCTAGCTGCTGGGATTTTCAAAAATTTTCCATTCAAAAGTTTTTTAACAGATTAGAGCAGCATCTTCATAGACAAAGAAATAATCATATATATGTATGTACATATGTACATACATACATATGCACTGTAATTTGTATTTATGTATGCGTTTGATACGCGGTATAACAGAGGTTGAACAATTTTTCCATTGACGTGTCCAATGATTGGTGATTACCAATGCGAAAAAAAGAAACCTTTGCCAAACAAGCCTAAATAATGCCAACATACATACATACACACACATACGTACATATGTACATATGTATGCATGTATGTGTGTATTTAGCTTTCGGCCAAGCAACAAATATTTCGATCAATTTTATGCGCTGATTCATCAGAAAACTGCCCAACTTAAAGGGCCTCCAGGTACGCACATCCATACTACATACATATGTACATACAAGCAAACAACATATGCATATAAACAACATTTATATTTATGTATGAATGTATGTATGTGTGTATGCCTAGGACAAGCTTAGAAGCGCTGCAGCAATCGCCGAGCAAGTGAAAATTGGCAACAGCGCGCCCATGTTCCTAAAGTTGGGCCACATGTTTCTAAACCGCATGCTGACCAGCAACATTTCTGCGATGGTATGTGACTGTGTGTGTGTGTTTGTTTTTAATAGAAGTAATTAAACTACAAAGCCACAAATAAATAAAAACCCAAAAAAGACAGCAACAACAACAGCAAATAGTAAATTAAATTCACACTATGAAAATTCACAGAAATTTAATTGAATTTAAGCAAAAGGCAAACCAAAAACGCGCACACAGAAAAATACATTCATACATACAAATGTACACATATACATACATACAAACATACATACATTATGTACGTATGTATGCACATACGCGAAAATTAAGTACGAAATTCCACAAACAAGCAAAAACGAAAAAAGAAAAATCAACCAACCGTCGCAGCGACCAAACGACCGTCTAAAAAGCAGCAGCAATAAAAATACATGGTCGTTCAAATGCGACGTCGCCAAATTTCTTACAAAAGCAAAACCAACAGCCAAAGCAAAAAAAAATAAAAAGGAAAGAAAAACTTAAGCGCGCGTAAGATTAAAGCAGCGACGGCAGCAGCACAGCGCCGGCCACGACGACGACGACCAGGCCAGTCAGCCAGCCAAGTGCGCTGTTGACAATTTTCAGCAGCAGCCCCAGCGCAAACAAATTAATAAAAATAACAACACACATATACATTCAAACACACACAACAATTGCGCAGACGACGACAATATGAAAAAAAGAGGCTTAAAACTATACGTCAAAAGAAACAAGCAAAGCAGCGACGTTTGCGTCGTTGCCAGCAGCGTTATAATAATAATAATAATGACATAAAAAGAAAGAAATTATAAAAAAAAAAACAAAGCCAACTCAAAACGCAAGAGCAAAAATGTATACACAGGCACATACATACATACTGTATAATACCGTGGCACATGTTCAAGTAAAGCAGCAATAACAAAGCCCACAAGAGTGAGCGAGAGAAAGAGAGAAATGGCTACATAGCACAAGAAGACAGGAAACAAGAGAGCGTACGTCAGCCGTTCGTTCAGTCGGTCTGACCGACGCTCTGTTGGGTCGTTGCCATGCAAGAGCGGGGGGTGTATGTGTGGGTTAAGCAAAAACAGAGAACAGCCAAGACGCACACTTCCATATATACATCTATAGATATACACATACACGCATAGAGAAGTACAACAAACAATCTTGTCATTGAGAGAGGGGGCAACACGATGGCAGAGGCACCGACGAGTTCCAACGTTCGTTATGGCGCGGGTGACGCAACAGCAAGTGCAAGCACAGGCAGTGGGCAACGGGCAACGGGCAGGAGGCAGTGAGTAGCAGGCAGCGACGCAGCCGCGTCGTTGGCAACTAAATACAATGCGCACACAAACACACATACTACATACTAGAGATGGGCATACGCCGGTTTATGTCGATCCGACACTTTAAATAATACTTCGCAGAAAATTTAATTATTTTTATTATATACACTTATGTATATGTATGCATATACATATAAATGTGTTTATCGTATAGTTGCTTTAAAAAGTGTTGTAAAGTAGACAAAATCACTCGCCAAGAAATAAAATACATATCGCAAATTCAATAAATATTAAGAGCTTAAGAATTTGAGAGTTTTCCCAATTTCAGGTATTTTTTGTTCGTATTATTTGAATCGACACGACCACACCCGGAAAATGAAACACGAGTACGTGAGTGCCTGCAGTGACGCGAACATGTCCATCTCTAGAGGACATACATACATCGACACCAGGCAGCCACAAAACTCGCAACGTCATAACGAGCAGAGCGACAGACCAAATGAACGCGTGAGTGAGTCAGTTCGTCTGCCCGCCGCTCAGTCAGTCAGACTCGCATAGTGACGTGCACAAAGATCCCCTGTGCCAACGACGGCAATGAGAGCCTCGTGTTTAACAGCAACCAACGGCCGTCTGACTGTATATATGTATGTATATACACATCTATATATATACAAACATACATACATATACATAGAAGTATATACATACATACATATGTACATTTATATGCGAGTGTGCATGAAAAATGATAGGCGACGAGTCTAACGAGTACAACACGATAGGTGGGGAAGAGGCAGCAGCAGCAGCGGCGGCGGCAACAGCAATAAAAACGTCGTGCGGGCGCGCAAGGTGAAACGTAAAAATACCGAGTAAAAGAAGAAGCAGAGAAGCAAAAGGCAGACACACACACACGCATTCACACATATATATACATATATATATATACATA